GAGCTGGAGTGGAGTTTGTGACCCAGAACTGAGCATCCAACATCAGTACTTGACCTCACTAATGCTCTTGTGGCTGAATGCAATCAAATCCTCACAGCAATGTTCCAACATCCAGTGTAAAGCCTTTACAGAAGAGTAGAGGCTGTTACTACATCAAAGGGGGACAAATGAATACCATTGATTTCAGAGGAAATGTTGGATGAGCAGGTATCTACAGACTTTTGGAAATATAGTGTATATTATACATGTTTATAGTGTTACACTGTTCTAACCAGTAGTCCAGCGGTTGTTAATGCTACTAATGCTGCTGTATTTGTTTCATCCCCCTATGCTTAAGGGGTCCAGGAGTAAATGTATTATAGGTATGATAGCAAACAGCTGTATGCAAAAGATTGAGCACCTCAGTCAAATTATGTTTTGTGATTTTCTAAGTGAAAATAGGTTCTCTCTGTAGAAGATGTGATAACTTAATTTAACTTAAAAAAAAAAATCAACAAAATGTATTTTTCAGTATTAACTGGCCTTTGTAATCCAACCATTGTCTACAGTGAAGTGCACTGACATATCATAATTGCATGCTTATTATGCAGGGGTTGGCCAGAATGATCCATCTCTTAGTGGCACTAAGGCACACCACACACACAGCTTATCTCAGCTGTTTAAAGATAAACCCCAATCCACATGAGTGCCTGCTCCTTCCAGTTTAAAGGGATTTATTCATTGACACATTTGGAGAAACAAGTGCAGGCAGCCACATTAATAACAATGCATTATGCATGGGGAGGGGGGGGCGGGGCTGGGGGATATCAGATGCGATCTCAGCGCTCAGTCAGAGCGGAAAGGCACTGGGGAGGCTGCAGGTAAGTTACTCTTTCTGTGCATCATGGTGGGTGTTTCTCAGAGGAAAGCTTTGCATTTTAATGCCCTTTCTTCTTTACTTTGATCAGGTTAGATAACACAGCAGCAGCTTGGCAGATGTGTTGGACCACTCCTTGGGCCTAGGCTTCTGAGAATCCCAAAAACCCTGTGGTTGGGTGGAGATTGTCAATGAAATAGCATGTATCTGGTATGGTATCTAAAAATAACCCAGTGGATATGCTCTTATCTGTCTGCTCCCTATAGTGATCCTATTGATCTTGCACGAGTGCTGCTTTGCTCCATTCAGACCTTTCAGAGCCTGGCCAGCAGCCCAGAGCTGGGTCAAAACATTCTTCTGTTGTAGGTTATCTACAGAGGCCAGAGATGTCAGATTGGAAGGGTAAATTGGAGTTCTATCCATACATTACATCAGACAATAAGCCTATTTATTTTTTTGCTTCTGTTTACTTTTTCAGACATGTGGGGAATGTGACAATGAAAGGCTGACAATTCTCATTTTGAACTTTTGTGGTAACTTCTTGTTCAAATAGCTTTTAAAGCAATACCCTCGGCACCTTCACTGAGCAGTACTTATAGGAGACCTATGGACAATCAATGAGCAACAAACTAACAAAAGCAATAGCACTAGTGGAAAGCTACAGATCCCCTCATAAACCTCCATCAAAACCAGAATATGAACAAGAGCAAGAGGGCTTCAATTCCAGTGGAGCTGGAGCCATTCACTCTATATTAGGGGTGTAACAATTCACAAAACACATTTGATTCGATATGATATAGTAGTGTCTTGATTCAGTACATTTTTTGATACAGCAAAAATAAGGAGTGGCAGAATACGAGTTGTACAATAATATGTTATTAGTTCTATTTTTTCAGTTTTTTACAGCATTCAGTTTTTTAAACAAAAGTTGTCTTAGTATCCCAATCTAATAGTTTAGCTACAAACTAATGTTAGCCCCAAGCTAATACACTAACCACAATACAGTGATACAATATGTAAAGATTTATGTAAGATTTGGATTTAGAGGCCACTGTGGTGGAAATGTGTAATTGCACATAACATACGGAAGAACATTTTGTAACGTCACTTGTGCTTTGGACCCCTTCAGCGACAGGCTTTACAGTACAACTCGCTGCAGTGTATGAACACCATTTTTAGCGTGTTTTTTTCTCCATACTCAGTAATCCTACTTTTTTAAATTTCAACAATACAATCTTGCATAGTACAGCTTTAATTTAATTTTATTATTTGTTCTACATTTGTGTGCTATGTTCTTAGTTAGGGCTTCCTCACTTTTAATGTCAGTTTGACTGCCCTGGTTAAAGTAAAAAAATAAAATGCAAATCGCAGGGAAGACAAAATGTCCAAGCTTTGTAGCTGAGTTGCTTGATTTACATGAATTTGCCCCCAATTTACGAAATTTAGTAGCTGGCCCAAAAGCAGAGTGTATTAGCATCCTACCTGGTGCTCCTCAGGATAAAACTCACTGAGAAGCCCCATTGACTTTGCCCTGATCCACTCAGATAAGATCCCAATGTTTTCAGCCCTTAGTCTTGAACTTTGGAGAGCAGAGAGATGGAGAGTATGTCTTTATTCCAGGTGACAGATTTACTCTGAATTATTTATAAAAGAGCAGCAGCAGTACAAGCGCTTCAAAAGGCAGCAGTCCTGGCCTGGAGATAATTTGCCTGCAGCAACATTCTTCCCACAACAGAGCTCAAGCTGACTTAAAAGCTTTGGCCCACTGAGCAAGATGACTTGATCTGTTTCTAGAAAAGTCTTCATTCTCACATGAACAATAGGCTCCTGGAGACTATAGTTTTCAAGGCATGAGTACCATTATGTCAATACTTTACATGCCATTCAGTATAAAATGTTAAATATTTAAAAGCAAACATATATAAAAATCATTGTCATTGACTCTCTGACTAGAAGAGTGCTTATAGGAACACTGCCAGGTACATACACTCATAAGCTGACAGGTCTCATGTAGGCTAGGGCATGTTAAGCCTGTATGTGCACATAACGTATTAATGATCTCTTTATATCACATTCATTCATTACATTAATAATTCATCTATACTTCATTCACACTTCAGTGTGGTTTGATAAAAAAAAACTACATGGTCTATTATGGAGCATGTATTCTATCATACCTCATAAACTGCACTTGATTGCTGGACTAGTGCTACACAATATTGCAAAAAATGTAATATCACAGTATTTTCCAAATATGGAATAGTATCATGGAATAAGACTGTAGTTTAAATTTAAGTTCTACTGAGGAAGCGAATTGTGTTTTAATGGATTATAACTGTTTTCTCCAAACAGTCTGTAAAGTGCACAAAATAAAATGAAAACAAACAGAAACACCAGCATTTTCATTATATTTATGAATATATTGCTCATTAGCTATGAAATAGTGTCATGTGCAATCCCCTGGTAAAATAACAGGTTTTGTTGATTTTGTAAGTCAAATTAAGTTAACACATCCTCAGCAAGAAGCCAACATAAAGTCTGTTTGTTTGCTGAATTTAACATATTTTAAAAAAACACACAAAAAATAAAATGTGCCATAATCTTTGCACACAAATTTTTCCCCCAATATGTTGAATTCGGCAAATAATGTAGATTATGAGATTTAACAATACACATAGTTTGACCAGGAGTGCCTAAACATTTGTTTATGACTGTGTATTGTTAAATATAGTAACAACTGAAAAACTGAAATACGACAGTGTGTCAGTTTCACAGTATATTGGTATAGACGATATATTGCCCAGCCCCATACTGGGCCCTTCAGTACAGATTGATGAAACACATACAGCATTCACTGTAACTCACAACAGTAATAGGTGGTCTACGAGTCAGTGTTCACCAGCGCCCATCCTGGAGAGCTACCTCCCTGCAGAGTTCACCTCCAACCCAGATGTAACACACCTGATTGAGCCAGTCGAGGACTTTTAAAGGTAATAATTTGTTGGATTAGGTGGGGTCTCCAGGAGCAGAGCTGGTGCTCACTTCTATAAATGCATAAAACCTATTTACAGTGGCCCCCAAAAGTATTTGAACAGTTGTACCATGCCTAAAAATGTATTTGCAGACTTCCCTAATGTGACTGCACCACAGAAGGAGTCAGCCAGTGTGGTTGTAGTCCAGCTTTACATTTATTTTAAAAAAGCATTGAGAGAATGTTTCTCTTTTATCATTCCTGTAGCTTATTTGCTTTAGTAGAGCAGCTGTACTTCCCCTTACAGTATTGTGGTTAATGTGTTTCAGGTTCTTCTCAATGGGGAGAAGAGAGCTGTTCACTTTACTGCCATCCACTCTTCAGCATAATGTGTGGGATTCAAACATTACATAAGGGTACATAAATAGTTCAAGCCTTAGTTCATGTAAATAGTAGTAGTAGTAAGTGCTTATAACCTTTTACAGTGGCCCCCAAAGGTATTTGGACATTTGTGTCATACCTAAAAATGTATTGGGTTCGTTGCATCAGGCAACAACATGTCAAACCAAGTCACTTATTTTGTACAACTGTAATTTTCTTTTGATCAAACTATTCTTTCAAAAGCACCTGGTTTGTTTCAGATTGTTAGTTTATTTGCAGACTTCGCAGGTTTGCATCCAGAATGGTGTTGCACTTTACTTAATACATTTTTTTGTAAATGCATGTGTTCTGTCCTCTGGCTCCTTTCCTTTTCCTTCTCTTTATAAACTGATACAATGCTTTATGTTTATGCCTATAACCTGTGTTCACGTTTATATTTATAACCTAAAAAACTTCATGATAGAAGTGTCCAAATGGTTTCTGGGGCCACCGTTTTCACTGTTTTCACTGTTTCAGTAATAGTCTTTATTATAAAGTGATTACTCTGTGTGCTGCTCACACCCAGTTAACGAGCGGTCAAGGCTTGTGTTCTCCATATGGGTCTGAAAGATAACGTTTTTTGTAATTTACTTTGATTGACATTAACGTTGGCCAATAGGCTCCTACTATGGACTGACAACTCATTTATTAGTAGGCGTGGTTTCTCGGAGGGCGGGGCCTCTGTTTTCCGACCCCAGTCCAGCGCGAGCAGATTGCTGTGTTTGGAGCCCGTGTGTGAAAGTAAAGGCTTTCAGGTGTCTCCGCGCTTTTGGATACTCTTGTGTTTTTGGGCACTCTTTTTGAGCACCGAGGCTGTGAGCTGCTCTTTTCTGAGCAGCAGAACTGGATTTCCTGAAGGTAACGAGGTGTTAATGTCTCTGGCTGAGCCGCTGTGTTTTTGTCTCGTAAACGCTCCAAAATAGCGTTTCTAATCGGGGGGAGTAACATCTGTGCGGGGCTGCTCTGACTGGATAGCCGAGGCTAGTCCGTTCATTTACATCACTTTACTCCAGTTTTTTTCATTGTCTGTTTCTGTTCGTTGTGTTTCAGGTATTTGTTCTTGTCATTCACCGTTTAATTTATGTTGCTGGCGGCCACGTTAACAACACTGGCGTGTTTCATTGAGGCTGCTGTTGGTTATGGCGCTGTTCAGGGCAGAGCGGCTCACTGCTGGCTCGGACAGGCTGACTGTGTTTGTATCCTGGAGGTTTCGGTAGTTGAAAAGTCTGTGTCGTTTTCTCAGCTCTCATCATTGAAATAAGTGAAATGCACACAGGCGACGTATTTGTGAATGGTTGGGATTTCAGTGCGTGTCTCTGGAGCAGACTACTGAAATAAAATCTCCTAATGTGGCTGCACCACTGAAAGAGTCGGTCAGCGTGGTCGTAGTACAGCTTTACTTGTATTTTTAAAAAGCGCTGAGAGGAATGTTTCTCTTTTAACGTTTCTGTAGCTTATTTGCTTTAGTCCGGCAGCTGTAGGTCCTCTTACAGTGCTGTGGTATTTCAGGTTCTTCACAATGGGCAGAAGGCAGCTGTTCACTTTACTGCCATCCACTCTTCAGCAGAATGCGTGGGATTAAAACATTATATAAGGATAATAGTTCAAGCCTTAGTTCATGTAAATATGCAGTAACATATTTCTAATAAAAAAGCTTAAAAAATCCTTAATGCATACGTATTATAGGTGCATCTGGTCTAGCCCACAGACCCACCACCAGCCTGGATGTGCTCAGATAGACAGAAAACTGCCACACACCTCTGCATCTATGAGCGTCTTTGCTGTGTTGGAATATCTATGGCTTGTATAATAATGAAAAGCTGTTATAAGAGTTACTTACAAGAATGGAGTTTTTGTTACAAGAAAGAAACCGTAGGAATGTTTATATAATTACATTTTCTGTTTTTTCATCGTGAACCATTCTGGACACCGTCATCGTGGTGGATGGGCCATGGCTGGATGAACTGGATGGACCACAATTGTGAGTACTCGCTTAAATATATCTCAGTCAGTCTGCTGTTGTTGGCTAAGATCTGATGTGGTGCACATCAGCACAGAGTCATTTCACAGAACAGACTCACATGGGTATCAGGGTATCCAGATACTTTCCATTTCAGGAAGCGTACACATTCTCTGACCACACAGAGTGAATATGCATGACAGGAAGGGGCACCTAACACCCCCCCCACCACCACCACACACACACACACACACACACACAATTTTAAGCAGTATCTGAATGACCACATCAAAATGCTCTGCCTCAGGCCAGTCATTACAGTTAGGGGTACCAACCGATCTATCCATGCTCCGCCCACAGATACGCTCTTTCATAGTAACTATTGTCAGGTTGGACAAGCTTTACAGAACATTGGCAAACATCCCATTCAACCAAACTGACTATAATAGAAGTTGTAAAAATCAAAGAATCTGATTAAGTAGAGGTTATAGAAATCAACCTAATTGAAAAGAATAGAAGTTGTTGAAATCAAGCTAAATGATTATATTAGAAGTTGTTCAAATCAAGGTAACTGAATGGAATAGAAGTTGTAGAAATCAATCTAATTGATTTGAATAGGTCAGAAGTTTACCTTCAATTTTGCAGAAATACCTTAATTTAGAAGGCGTTATTCATTTTAAATTAGTTTTAAATGATTTTGTATGCATGTCAAAGTTCACATTGTTGGGATAGATTGTATTTTTTTTTTTGTCCTGCCATCGAGCTAACCTTAGCATGGTGGCAAATGTGTTGTCCTTTCCAACCAGCCAAGTTTGATTTGCTACAGCATAGTCCAGTGTAGCATTTTAATCTCAACATTATGTAGCAGCTCTAAATAAAGAGCACTACAAATTCTTATTAGGTTGAATGAAATTTTTGCCAATGTTCTTTTAAATTCGTCCAACCTGGCAACCAAACAAATTTGTGGATGGTGCATGGATAAGCCAGTTGCTCATTAATGCTACACAAAGCCCAACTTTGATGGCTGCCACCGAATCCACATCAGCAGAATGAACGACTTCCAGCAAGGCTGTCGTTACTCTCACTGCACAAATGTACACTTTGTGGAGACCCTTGTGCATAAGCAGTTGTGGTTATGTAGTAATAGTGGGGTTGTCTTTAGGACAGTATGTCCTGCTTTGGGCTTTAACCTATTTGCCTGGTGTTTAATCTGCTGAACCCCACTGTGCTGGATTAAGCGCAGCTAATGCTGCTGCCATACAAATGCAGAAAGATTAAAAAAAAAACAGCACAGATATATTGTCAGACATTGTGTCCGGTCCTATCTGAGGCTATGCTGTCTTTGTTTTATTTTGCTTCACCTCAGTGTTGGACTGGTAATATCACATGGCTTCCTTTCCCTCTTTGGAGATGGTGACAGGACTGGGGGAGGCAGTTGTTGGGTGAAAGGTTCAGTGAAGACTGGAGCCATCTTTCACTTCTGTGTTTTTCCACTGAGGATATTCAGGCCAGCCCTGGAAACATGAGCTCTGCAAAAAGCAAAATAATCGGTATTGATCCACCATTATAAATCAGACTCCCCTCATTTACCAGCAAACCATAAAGAGCTCCAAGCTCCATTACAGGAATGACTCATCATACCTGAATGTTATTCTTTTAGTTTGTCACATAAATTACAGGAAGATTATAAATTTCAGAGTGCTGTGGTGGCAGGAATGCCTGTTCAGCTGCTATGAAGAGGATAAATATTCAATCATTCGAACATTGTGCCTTGCATCTTTTTGGGGAGGAAATATTGCCTTATAACCGAACAGTACATTTCCATTGGGCTGATTTTAGAACAGGTCTCAAAGGGGACACTGTACTCATCGAGGCTGGAGGATATGTTTGAACAGAAGCAGATAAGGTTTTTTAAATATGATTCTGGGTTTATGTAGTAGTGGGCTGTATACTTGTTCATTCAGTTGAAATTCTTACTCAGGTATGAATTTTGTCATAACTTTTATACTGGTAATCCACAAATAAGCACAGAAATGCAGCATGCAAACAAGGCAAAACAAGCTAGTGTTATCCTATTTAGCAGCAACATATTTTGTAGTCAGGGAAGTTTAAGTCACATTTCAAGTGAAAGTGCGAATGCGACAGTCTTTTGATTACCTCACATAGGTGGTGGGCTCAGTCTCACTATCTGTCTTAGTTTTTGAGTTAAACGATTTGTTTCTCGGAACTGAGTGAAAACGTGCTCTTACCTACCTCAGTATTTTGTGTTTGCAATGGCACTTGTTAGGCATGCTCAATTTTTGCACATTTTGTCTTGACATTTATTAGTCATGAAGTTAATTAGGCAAACGGCGTCAGCTACTTAACAGAATGACCAATCAAATGTGTCACCAAAACTGTGACGATCATTGTCACTGCGTGCAAAGTGATAACTAAGGAAATTCTTATGAATGTTGGCCTAAAAATTTAAATATTATCTGTCTTCATATATATATATTATATTTATATATATAAATATATATATATATATATATATATATATATGAAGACAGATAATATTTAAATTTTTATATATATATATATATATATATATATATATAATGTATGTATGTGTGTGTGTGTGTGTGTCATTTTTGCAATAAAATGTGTTTTACAGTGCTCTGCTATGTTCTACACATAATAATGTTAAAGTTCTGCTTTTCTCCCACCTCAAGAAGTCATCTGTTTGGCCTGCTTTCTGTTGATATATCATAAAGTGCCAGTGCACTCCTGTCCTCTTCCCCCTACTCCCCAGTCATTAATTTCACTTAACGAGCAATGACCACATCTTACAAGAACTTTTTGCATTTTACTAGCGCTGACCTGGTATGATGCTGTTATATGGCATTACAGATCTGTGGCAAGAGCCTGCCGGAAGGCTCGCAGCCGCCATCAGGGCCCGGGGGGGCGGGCGCATGCACGCCACAAGATTATTTAAGTGGCTCTTGGATGGCCGTGAGTTGTGATTGACTGGTACATATATTAAATTTCAATATTTATTAACATTTGCCATTTTTAAACAAGTACCACTTTTTAAGATGTGGCCAGAGCAGATTTAATAAACTGACAAAACTAAAAAACTGCTAAGCAGAGATAGAAGCACACCACAGCAGCTCCCTATTCAATTCTCCAAGATTGTATGTATCAGATGTTTCTGATTAACAGCACTGATCTGGGGCCACTTGGACCTCCAGCTGAGCTGAAAGGGGCAGCGTGTGGCGTTAAGCGTTGTACAGTAGCTATATGGGGCTTAAATGGCTTCCAGCTGGTCATAGCCGTTGTTTCCTGTGATAAATGACATTCATCATTGACTGCTCAGTGACTGTTGAGAAGAGATTTAAAGTGCATCTGTTCTTTTAAAACATACTTTAGTAGCATACTGTGGATTCCATTGCTCTCTTCTGGCTGCTTTGATATCATCAGCAATTAAATGAGAATTGTTTCCCAACTGCCTTTTTTCTTACTGACCGAAAGACGTATATGATAGGCTTGTTTAATGGTCGCAATTGCCAGATATCCTTGATCACTACATAAATGATCAATTCATAGATTCTTTTGGTGTGCATTTAATGGGGACGATTTGATGTGTGATATTGTATCACGATAAATTACGTGACAGTAAACTTTTTGAGCATGTTGTGGGTATCGTCAATACTTTCACAACACTGATCAAATGCATGTTTCATCAAAAAGAGGTTCCCAAGTGTTGTAGCTGTCTAAGGTTTCACCCCATTGTCATGAGTTCAAATCCCAACAATGCCAGCAGTCCAAGAGAAGTGCCATATTTCTTAATAGCCATGGATCTTTTCTGGGATTAAAAAGTTTGTTCATACTGAGCATGGGTTATTTGGATGCTTAA